ACTTGTCTGTGGTGTTGCTTTACAGTCATTCTGTACTGGGTCCAAACGCAGTAATGCTCCCTTATTGAAATAAGGAGGGTAATCCAATGCCTTTCTTCTCTTTTTTGCTATTGTCAGAGTAAAAGTCCTTTTACAGGATTACTGAATATCCCCATACAGGATTACACTCCTACTTAACATTGAGAATTTGCAGTAGTAACCCACGGACTGCTTAAGACACCATACTTTTTGGGGGGCTAGAAATTGAAGTGTGAAATCAATAAACCAAATTGTTGTTCAGAACTCCAGTATGAAGAAAGCAGTTTGAATGACACAGTTAAATTTTAGTCCTTCTAATTTTAAGTCCTGAGAAAACCTCACCATTTATTTGTTAAATGTTGTTTTTTTTTTTGTTTTTTTTTTTTTGTTTTTTTTTTAGAACTTAGAGTTTTATTTTTTTTCCAATTTTAAGTTCTGAGAAAACATCACCATTTATTTGTTAAATGTTGTTTTTTTGTGTGTTTTTTTGTCCTAAAATTCTAGCTAAGCCTTTGATTTACAGTGTAGAATCCAAAAATAAAAATGCATTCAGTAGTGCCCTGTCACTAATATCTTGAACACCAGGTTACGGTAAAGTAACCACACCTGTATGCAGCTATCTCTTTTCATTTGTTTATCCTTAAAAAAGGAATACTTTTGACATCATAATAGGGTTTTAAAATACATTCAAATATGTGACAATTTTTCTATTCTATTCTATTCTATTCTATTCTATTCTATTCTATTCTATTCTATTCTATTCTATTCTATTCTATTCTATTCTATTCTATATCAGTCAGTATTCAGATGAATGCTATATCCTCTGTATAATGCAGTTCCTTCATTTAACTGATATAATGTCGTCAGGATAATGCATTAAAGGGTTCAAATATCTCCTTGATTAGGAGTGTGCATTTGTGGAGTCCAAGTATTTCTATTTCTAATTAACCCCAAGTGGCAGTTTTTTCTATTTCTTTGAATGAAGCAACCTGTTTTTGCTTGTGGCAACAACTGAGCATCTGTTTGTGACATAGGAAGACTGTGGTCACCTCAGAGGATCAGGTTGTTTTAGCATTAGCTTTTCAAGGCCCTGAGACAAACTCCCTCTGCATCACCTTCGTCATCCTGACAGATGTCCTGCTGTCAGCTGTCAGTCATGCTGTAAATGGGTTCAGAGTGTGATGATGTCATCTGGATCCCTTGTCCAATTTCCCTCCGAGCTACTCGGAGGGAAAATTATAGCTTTTCTTTCTTAATTACAATTGCTGTTTCCAGTTTTATAGCCCAGGAGAATACAATTCATGTCAAAGGTGTACGAATTTGATCCCCACAGAAATGCCTCATGCAAGATTGAACTGGCCAAGTGTCCCTGTTGAGGGACAATTATCAATTCAATGTTTAACACTGTAAAATAATGTGTGAAAACTATACCACAATTCAACGAGCACCGGGACAAATCGTTGTATGAATCACCATTCCTACTTGAGCACTTCATGAGGTGTTGAATTGCTTTTGAATGTGGTCCTTTACAAATGTGATTTGCAACTAAGAGTGGGTGATTCAATCCCAGAGACGCTGGAGTGGGTATCCAAATCAGAATCCGAGCAGGATTTTCATTTTAATGCCGTTGTAATAATTTAAACATTTCAATCTGTGACACTGAATAAATGGAACCAGCAGAGATAGGAAGGGGTTTGAAATAACTTATCTGACTGGATCTTAACTAAAGCGATCCTGATATGCAGCTCATTAGAAAAGTATTTGATGATGAGTCATAACAAGGCATGGATGGTGGAGTGGCCATCCCCAAAGTCGATACCATACAGTACCTTGAGCTCCAAACATGTATGTAATCATGAGTTTAGCGTGTGTCCTCACTAATCGACTCCAGTGCGGCTAATTTGTCTCGTAGCAACGTGGAATTCAGCATCTATGCACAAGATATGCCAGTTCGGTCTCGACAATAGTAGAATAGCAATGTTGATCAGCTGTATAAAATGTGTAATTTTAATGAAAAAGCTAAAGTTGTGAAATGAGTTGCAATTCTTTACCATTTACATAGCCATATGTACTTAATTAGATAAAGGCCACTGTTTCCATTTTTAATATCCACATGACCGCTTGGATTGTTTACACGAGAGCATTGTTGGTGAGATTGATCTGTGGAAGTCAAGTAAGATGCTGGAGTACCAGCATACCAAACACGTCCTGCTTCACTGTACCACATAATTGGCTTTTTTCATTTATTCATATTACATGATTAGGCTCAGAAATAAAAAGATACAAGCTTAGGTAATGCCATGATAATGTGACTCAGGTACTTGTGTTTAAAAAGAAAAACTTTTTTTCCCCCAGTCATATATGACAGAGGTAAACATGATGTGTTTAAAAGATTTTTTTTAACTTGAGTATTAAGTTGTTGCTGCTACATTGTTTTGTTTAGTTTTTTAGGATTACTGATAATGGCTATGTGAAAGTTTTCCCTATATTAGTGACTATCTATTCACCATCAATCTTGTTACCAGGGTGTGAACAATTTAACACACCAATGCCTTTATCTTTAGAGCACTGATCTTAAGGAAGACCGAAAGACCATTTTACTACTTATTACAAAGAAATGCATATAGACCTCGAGTGTGTAACCCTTGTCTGTCTTTTCACCTCAATGCTTTGCCTTGTTGTGCTGTAATTGAATATAAGAATAATATATATCATATCTGTAGCCTTTGCTCAAAGGATAGATATACTTTCAGCCTAATTGTCATGACACGAAAGTGTGGAAAATTACATGTTTTGTCAAGGATTTAGATCATACAATTAAGGCGTTCACAGTTCTGAAATAGCCATCAGCAATAGTATCAGACGCATCAGACCAGTAATTCTAGACATGATACAGTAGAACCCATTTTCAGTACTGACTCACCCAAGATAAGCATATTTCCAAAAAAGTGGATGTTCAAACGACACCACATAACCACATAGAAAATTAGATTCCTTATCTTGTCACACTCCATCTCCCCTGATTTTTATCTAAAAGCAAAGTAATTAGTATAAACTTGGTCTGCAATTTCATGAGTATCTTTATAAGAAAAAAATACTTTTTATCATTTAATTTATTTATCTTTTGTGTATCGGTGAGCTTTGCTGTTCAGCACAGCCATGACTGTACATGAATTTGCTGTGAACCAATTCATGGCAGAGGGCCCAAAAACATGAAAGTGCGTCTCTACTTTGATAGGGTATTGAATTTACAAATGTCCTCCTCAACCAGACAAAATCCATTACAAAATGAAAAATCTGGTGACCTCACATTGGCTTTTTTTCCACCTCATATTAAAAAAAGGCAATGTACCGGCTTTTAGCATGACTGCAGTGAGTTTCTATTAAATTTGTGAGAGAGTGATGGCACCAGCATCATAATGACCCAATGCCATTAGCTCTTTTTCTTCTTTGTTCCTCCTAGTCCTGTCTTTCTTCTTTCTCTTTTCCACCCTTTCACATTGTATGCCGAACTCCTGACATTGTCTCTGCCTTAGTTAGCCAAAACCCGGACGTCCTCAAACATGTGTTTCCACACCAAAGGTTCATTAATTGTTTTCTATATTTGCTGTTATGTTGTTTAGAGTTGTCCAGGTGATCATCAGTACTAATCAGATCTAATAACAGTGTTGGAAATCTTGGCACAGCAATTAATCATACATCTTTTTAGTCTGCCCCTTGTGTTGTCCAGCAGTCATTCGGAAGCTTTCTTCAATTGTCTCTACTCTCCCTCCACCTCGTCAATCAGCATGTGGATTTGTGTGTAGCTTGACTTGATGCGAGGGCTAAGTGTTTAATTAGTGCCCGGCAACATTTTTTTTTGCCTTGACAGTGGCAGGTTTGGCAGCTCCAACATTATATCTTTATCATTTAGCTGTTACACTACACTATGCTCGGCCAAGGTATCTCTGCATTATATTCAACCCACTGCACACCTTTAGAAATCTAATGATCATGTATTTAATTAGAGAAGGACATCATTACCTTATTATGAAGCCATAAAACTGGAAGTAATTGAAGACATCTGTTAGATCCTATGTTGGCAGCCAGCAGCAAAACACCCCCACACATACAGACACAAAAGCATAAAGAAGAATACTGATAGATAGAATTACCTAAAATATAAGCTACAAAGTGAATGCTTATCTCACAGAAAAGCTCTAAATTCATTGTATCAAGACTGATTTAAATGAGCAGTGAAATATTTGCATTTTGGCACTGGATACTTTTCTGTAGCAACACCCTTTCTTTATTGATACATGGAAGAAGTCACCTGTGCTTTGAAAGTTAAATAAAAGGGGATAAACACACTGAGAAGTTCTTTCAGGTACAAGTATTTTTACCATTGGGCCAAATACGAACTATATGAAGATTAATGTTTCAAATAAGATTTTGTCAATTCCAAAGCTGTGTGCTGCCAGCAAAAAGCACAGAGTATCATAATGACAGAAGCTGTAGTCATTAAAAACATGCAATTTGACCTGTGTCAGCAGATCTCTGCTTGAATCTCTCTGACACATATACATAAATATACACATATAAATGTATATATATTATAGCTATAATACTGACATAGATAGCTGAAGAAGAATACCGTTGACATCGAATATAATAGGCAGCAGATGCAGCTTGTGTGCATCTTCATACTGGATAGTTTCCCGATGTATATTAAGCAGCAATACATACAAAGGGCTGCAGCTGGAGAATGATGGCAAGAGTCCATCAGCTGATGCTCACTAGAGACCGAATTATGAAGCAGCTCGTGCAGCATTAAAAAAAGCAACTGGATGTTGTAAAGTGTGAATGAAAATGATGCCTGTGAATATGCCTTTTAGCAAACTATTTTAACAAGCTCAAGCCCTTTTCAAGCCGCTCAATGGCCAAAAAGATTAGAGCTTTGATTGTAGTTTTAACCTCGTCCTTGTCTCGTGTCTTTTTCTGCAGAGGGTGGCCAGATCATCAACAATGTGGGACAAAGCTCGAACATTGGCCAGCAGCACCCTTACCCACCCCTTGGCCAGCTGGCACACGTCTATGAACAGCAGCAGCAACAGCAACAGCAGCAGCAAAACATGGATCTCAACAAGTATGCCTCCCTGAAGGCTGTTGGTGAGTTATTATCACGACATCGTTGGATTTTTTCTTAATGAGACAGAACGTTTTGAGAAAGTCAGTTTCGATGTATCCGCAGCTGCACCAAGGTTCTCCATGCTGACATTGAATTTCATAGCTGCTTCCAGTCTTGTTTTTGAGGTGGCATGAGTAGACTGCAGTAAATCCTGATGAAAGAAAAACTGGAGCTACTATTGATTTTTGTTCCAGCACAGGTAACTGAAAGTTTTGTGACCCTCCTCGCGCTAAAGGGCAGCGGATACTTTTTCTAGAGGTCTGACGGAGGGATGTGACTTAACTAAAGGAGTCAGACAGGCTGATTTGGCAGCTGTTATTGATTGCACTATGAAACATGATATGCTGTAGGACAGAAATTGCTCATTGAGCTTTTTGACTGCTCAAAACCTGCCAGGAATTTCAATGACTTAGCTGCTAGTGTAGTCGCTTTGGATTTTCTGCACATTTCTCAAATGTAACTTTAGCATAACCGGCAGTCAATTAAGAATTCTGTGAGTTTTTGCTTGAGAGATACCCAGCCAACCATTGTCACATCTACTAAATGATGTGAAAAACATATGATTTCTCACATCTGGGCACTTTTTGGAAAAAATACTTTATGAAAATATTGAGCACCTTTTATTTATACACACACACTCACTAAACTCCAAATCTGTTGGAGATAGATGGATATTAGATCATATTAGTCTCTCAGGAAAGCATTGAAAACACATAACCTGATGAATAGGTAAACTGACTTGTTCCAAGTTTAATGGGCCATTTTCTCAAGACAATATGAGTGAATGTGATGGATAATGCTGTCATCTTAAATCTTTAATCATCCTGGGAACTTTGTTTATCTTCTTTAAAGACGCATGAGTAAAATTTCTGGAGATTTTTTGTTGTGTTTGACTGCAATGAAATCTAAATAAATTGCAGTCAAATTACATCTCGATGTCAGGCCGTAAAGATCGAAGAACAAATGGATTTTTTCTCAACTCAACTCAAGCATCATAGCATGGGTATATATCCCAATTTCTTCACTGACAGGAGCTTCAATAGATCAGAGTGTGTAGCATCCATAAGATATGCTGCAATTTGACTATGGAATGAAACCTGACTGTCCCTCATGTGGAAAGCCTCTCTCTGATGTTAGGCTCCCATGTCCTTTTAATATAACCACACACAAATCCACCAGATGAATGCCACACATGCTGCAGGGATTGCAGATAGTAGTTTTTGTAAACGGTTTAAATCCCGGGCGGCTCATTGATGTGTTGGTTAGCACCATCGCCTCACAGCAAGAGGGTTCCCCAGTTGAGCAAGGACCATTCTGTGTGGTTTGCATGCTCTCCCTGTGTCTGTGTTGGTTCTCTGGCTTCCTCCCACCATCCAAAAACCTGCATCTTAGGTTGACTGGACATTCCAAATTGCCCTTAGGAGTGAGTTTGCTTGAGTGTTCGTCTTTGTGCGTACTGCGATGGACTGGCCCATTGAATGCTAGGATTGCCTCCAGTCCAGTCTAGTCCCCCCGCGGCCCCATTTTGCAATAAGTGGTTCAGAAAATGGAAAGATGCACTTAGCGGAAACAGATGAGACAGGTTTGTGATATTTGAATAACAGGTACTTGAGGAGTCTAACTGTAACAGATGTAACATTGGTTGATACAGTCCCAGATTTTTTTGAATTTCCATTTGAAACCAAACATTTTGCTCCCTATAACTCTGACACAAACTGTAATGAAACAGGAATGTTTTTTAGTGTTTTCTTCATGAAAGTGAAGAGTAAATGCCAATAACCAAATAGCAGTAATCATGAATCTGCCTTTGATGGAGAATTCCTGTATAGCAAGGCCAACTTCAGCCTTCCTTATAATGAGCATGTATTTAATACAATAGACTTCCTTCATGAGTAAATAAAATACTTACAATAATGAGCTTGTTGATGTATTTAATTAAAAAATACTTTGGAAGGGGACAATGTGGAAAGATTTTTGGAACATAGTTGACATGTTGTATTTGTTATCATGAGGAAGGCATATATATTTTTGGAATATTCTTTGAAAGATCATTATTAATTCCTAAGTATATGCATGTTGACAAATTTGTTAGTATTCTGCCTCCAGCCAGAAGATGCATTTAAAAAATTACAGATGACCCTAGAAGTGTGATTGGCTTAAACTCAATCTTCACTGGATTACACGGATATAGAAAATGAATGGATGGTATACACGTTTAGATTCATATTGGAGGAGTGCCAAACATCAGCTCTAAGAGAGGAGATATAAAGCTTGAGGAAAGATGTTGTTTACAATCTTTAAGTTAATCTTGACTTTTTGTATGGAGATAAGAATATGGAGGGGCAGAAAGAGTCTTTGTGGCTGGAATAGATTTAAGTATGTGATCCACCGGGTTTCATGGCAAAATGGTTTCATTATTTGGATTATTGGTACTGTTGAGCACATATGTATTTATTTTTAATATATTCGTTAGGTTTTTCATCGAGGACCTTCACAGTTTTTGGGGGTTGAACAATGAACTGATATTAGTTAGTCTTATCATATTGTTCTCCTTGAAACAATTGTTTTTCTCATGCAAATTCAACACACAAAATACCTTGAACATTTGAAAGAAGTCAATCAGAAAAGTTAGAAACCTCCATTTTCTAGCACAGCAGTTCCCGCCAAACACGGCACGAAAAATGAATGTTTGTTTTCACAGGGGATTTTTTTTTTTTAAATGATCTGGGTCAGTTACATCACTGGATCACTGACTGACGGTAGCTTTCCTCACCTTTCCAGATAAAAAGCTGCATTTTAATGACTACCAGTTATTAGACAAGCCCCTGAAACTTCTGCTCTCCACGTTAAGAGGATGAACTCGTCTTGAACCATGAATCAGTTCTGATCAAACCATAACACTGGCATTCTGAATTCATTTGTGACATTTTTAATTGGTCAATTTTTTATCATGGTGAGCATCATCTGTATATATAGACAAAAAACTTCACGCTAATTTGTCAATTTTTTTTACAACGATCATTAAGTTCTTGATAAGTGTTTGCTTTAGTATTTTTGTGTGATATAAAATACAAAAGAAAAACAAATTAAAGTAAATCCATTTATTTTTCGATGTGTACTTTGCCTTGCGGCTACCCGTCTGTGTCTCGGGCTGCCTGGGGCTGCTGCTTCGCACGTAATGAAATGAAAATGTGCAAAAGAAAAGTCATTTTCTCACAATGAAAAACTGAGTTTCCTTGAAGCTGATAACAAACTGCCAAAAAGAAGATGCAGCAAGGGAGAGAGGACTCCTCAGGCTATCTTGTGTAATGTGGTCTACTCAAACAGTGAGGAACAGTCGTCGCTGCCGATGACACAGACAGGAAAGACTGCCTACAGGCCATAAAATCAATCTAAAAAGCAATGCTATGTGCTGAAAATAATTTAGTGTTCATTATTTCAAGTTGAAGGCATATAATGTGAGACTACGTCAGAAAGCATCCACAAAGAGACAAGAAGTTTGTGTTGAGCTTTTACAAGAATATATAAGTTAGTTCACATGGCAATTTAGAGGCAATATTCAAACCTGCCAACAGTATTCTCTTTTTTTTCCCCAACTCTTTTTGAAGCAACATCTCATGCCTGCTTTTTCATATCTAAAATGGCCTTCATTTTACTTTCACTATTCCCTCTAGACCATCATCTTCTGTTGTTTCCTCCGCTAACCTTTAGTGTCTGGCTCACTTTTCTCCCCAGCTCCTCCTCCAGGCCTCCTCCCTGTCCCCTCCATTTCCTCTCAACTCTTCTCCTGCTCCTTTGCTCCCACCTCTTTCCTGTTTCTAATCTTCACCTTTTCCATCTTTGATATCGCAGCCTATATCGTTTACCTCCTGCCCTTCTCTCTCCACTCCCCTGACCTTCTCTTTTCACCACTTTTGTCTAGGCGTCTCCTTTTCACCCCTGGACAATGACCTGCTTCCCACTTTAATACCTCACTCAGAGTCATTCAACCACTAATCAAAATCTACTTTCATAGGTGGTCATATCAAATTCCATTTCTGTTCCACTGAAGGGATGTCTCCACCCCTCATTTTTCTCAGGCTCGTACTGTACAGACCAATTTCTATTTTACATCTGACAGTCAAATAGGCATCTATAAAATGATTGGAAGCCAGAAATACACAGAAAAGAGGCTCTGAATTTTAAGGGATGCCTTATTAGTATTGTAAATGTCAGAGGAAGTTATGGCAGGAAACAGCGGATCTTGCACTCTGATGTTTTCGCCATCTGTTGACTCCATTAGATATTGAGCCAAACCCAAGATAAGCACCATTTTCTCAACATCACCTCATCTGCACCTCTTTTCCACCCCCATTCTTTAATTGCTTCTGCCACTTTCCCAGTGGTCTGATGAGCCACACTTCTGTCAATCAATAGCCTCTCCACTGTCCCCCTGTGCATTTATATAAGGTCACTTTATTGTATTCTACCAGCTGCCAAGGCACAGTCTAACTATTAAAAAAAAGGTATCTGGATGGAGGCTAAACCTAAAGGGGACTTGCACATGTTTACAAGTACAAATTACCAATTACTACTAAAATGTAACGTACAAATTATTCACTGAATCTTTCAACATTCCTTTAACCCAACATGCCATGGAAAACGAGTATGTTTTCCATGGAAACTAGACTAATTAAATCTTTTATCGTTTTGGAGGTGATTGTTAAATACATTTTCAACCTCACTTTCACCACAGTTGAATTATTATGCAGTGACAGCATAAAGTATTGCATTTTATATTGGCAGCTGCCAATAGTTTCCACCCAAAATGAACATCAAGACTACAGACAACCATTTATCCTGACAAAAAAACTAAAGAAAAACAAAGCTGGATTTAAAAAAAAAATATTTCTAAAACTAAAAGAAGCAAGACATGCAAAAGTGCAAAAATCCCAGAACACATGGGAAAGATTGCATTTCAAACATGGCTTGAAAAACTGTGGTTGCGTGACTTAAAATCCCTGTGTTTGACAGCTAGGCCTGTTATACTGAAAATAGTTTTTAAATTTTAAATCATTTGTATATCTTTTCTTAATTTACTAGACAAAAGTTCACTGTTGTCACCTACAAAGGAAAAATAACAAGTTGAAAGGATAATAAGTCAAACAATCAAATAAAAATATATGGTCTGAATGCTGTTCAATTGTTTGTCATTGGCTACTATGGTAGAAATCTATTGTAAAACTGTATCATAAGCTGTTGAATTAAGTAAAGCATTATGCAAGCTAAGTATGAAAATATAAAATGCCCTTCAGAAGAGTAAACTCTCCATAGTCTTGGCAGTACATAACCTAATTATCTGAGAAAAAGTAGACTGACATCCACATCCAACTCTAATAATGTTTTATGTTATTGGCACCGAGGGGCTTCGGCTGCGTTTTTTCTTTCTTGATGCATAATGTGAGTCTCAGTGGGATGCTGGTTTTCTCAGGCAAAGACATGCAGAGCCCACACTGCATAACAGCAGTGTTTTACGTTCCCACTCACGTATGCCGCTGGATGTTTGCACTGTCGAGCTGACTACCTCCAGATTGATTCACCTGTCGCCTGAGCAAGTTTGTTCCCCAGGGGCGGTCTAGCAGGGACTCGTTGGGCAAGACACAACGCTCCTCCACCCCACAACTGTGCTCTGCTATTCCCTCACAGTGCCCCTTACTCATTTCTCTCCACCTCTCGCAAAGCGATAAACTAGATTTATAGCTAAAGCAGCAAAGCAAACTCGCTGAGCGTGTTAACTTTATCTTCAAGGACGTGAAGGCAACAAGGAGCTAAAGAGCAATGACTCAACTGTGACCGTGAATCAGAAGGGAGAAAAAAAGGTCACATTTCGCAGCAATAAGCAGGACTGTAGCTTGGTGACAGCAGCTGACAGAGGATGGAATAAATGTGAGGCTCTAAAGCTGACAGCTAGATGCTGAAGAGACTCACACACAAACATGCTACCATGTTTGAGGGAGGGGATGCTTGCACTAACACACCTGAGCTGAAGAACTTCTGCTTTTTTGGACAACCTTTCACAGGGTTTTGTTTTGGTAATGAAAAAAATGGATTGTTGCACCTGACGCTGAGTGTAGTATCAAGATTACCTTGAATAATGCGTCATTCATTGTGATTATTCATATATTTTCTGTCATGTACGCTCAATATTTTCCCAGTTATTTGAATATTTTAAGTATTGTGCATTTCTTATGACAAAGTTTCCCACACTACAAATTAGTCACCAGGTACATTTTCATATACACAATCTATACATTTGTATTGAAATCTAACTTCAACAACCTACCCTAAAGCATACATCTCCTGAACAAGTTTGTTTTGAAACAACGTCCTAAACATACACTGTGCAATCATTGTTGAATCTTTAAAACTCTGGAACTACAATACCATTAATGGAGAGGGTCTAACTAAAATCTTTGCTTTCATATGAAAGGGGCATTGCTATTTGCCTGAGAACTAAATTATTGAGAAAGTGCCTCAAAATGCATCAAAATGAACCAGAGCAGATAGTGGGTTTTGTGCATTGTACTCATGTCAGCAGTCAACTTCAATATCTGCTGTGTTGACCTAGTATCGATATTATTTCTCTGTCTCTCTTCCACTAGCTGCCAAGTACAACGGTGAAATCTACAACAAGCGCCGGCTGATGGTAGAGCTGCCAACAAAGGGTGGCCTTCCTCTCCAGCCTATGGGCAACTCTAGACCATCCATGGGCAACATGTCATCAATGACTCAGATCCCCACCAACCCGATGGCTTCAAACCCTATGAACTCCAATTCCATGAATCCCAGCATCACTCAGATGACTTCAATGGCACAGATGACATCGATGACACCTATTACATCAATGACACAAATGACCTCACTGACCCCGATGTCATCGATGACTCCGATGACCTCCTTGGGGCCACTGACTCCGGAACCTGTGGCCACCTATGTCACCGAGATACCTAACATCTCTTCTGTCTCAACCCTCCCAACAGAGAGGCACATGGCTGGTGCCGGAGGAGGGGGACTTAAACCGAACGGCCAGAAACTCAAAAGCAGCCATGGTCACACTGCCCACAGCTCTCACACTCATGTTCACAGCCACGGTAGCAAGACACTTGGACTTGGGGCTACATCCCTGGCACATATGGCAGGGACCATGCCAGGTGGCACTTCCCTGGGCATCTCCAGGGCTGCTGAGACCGCCTTTGGCTCAAACTCCGCCACAATGGGCCGCCCATTGGCGTACAGTTCCAACACAATCGCAGCTGGGCATACAATGGGGTATGGGCTAAAGGCTTGGGATGGGACTGAGACAGTGGGCAGGAGGAAGAGCTATGGGCACAAGAGGCCTCAGTGTACCGTGCTGGAGCCAAACCAGCTTCATGGCAGCAGAGGGCAAAGCCACAGCCAGCACTTCCTCCCCACACAGCCCTATTTTGTGACCAACAGCAAGACAGAGGTGACTGTGTGAGAGTGGAAAAAAGGAAGACAGAGTGGGGGAAAGGATGCAAGTGTAGAGGTGACACACGCAATCTCTAAGTGAAGACGTCAGCTCCTGGGGTGTTCAAAAGGTGCCGATCTACATATGTGTTTAAGTGAAAAAGCTGATGGTTGTCGGCTTAATGTGTCTCAGTGGTTCTTGTTTCACCGACAGAGCTCACCAATCTAATTACTCAACGGACCTTCATCGTCAAGGCAATGGTATTCCAGTTGTTGGCACTTGGCACCTATAACAATGTTAAGAACTATAAGAGCAGGGATGTCTGCACTATAGTAGTGATGTTAAAGAGCATTGTTCCACAGATAACATCTAATCTGTAATATTGAGCATCACAGGTCGCTTCCATACTTGTTAAAGGGAAAAAATTATGAAAATAACAGATGGGCTTTAAAACCTTTAGACACACATCATGGTGAAGGATAGATGCAGCACATTTAGCTGGAAATTTTTATTTGATTTGCCAAAAAGAAAAAAGAATAAAATTTGGATGCAGCATTTGGAAGAAATACCATCCCCAAACCCAAATCTGCCAGGGTCTTTGAAGCAGACACATGTGATGAGGGCACAGGGATTTGGACTGCAGACATGCTTTGTTCTGTGGCTATTCAGAAGCACCTTCATAAGCTCTGCAGCTGAAGGTCGCCCTTTTTCCACAAGGCTCCGGCACAGAATGGAAGCTTTCACACTGGCATTGTTGTGTTCTAATGTCGTCTGTGTGGTGACAGCGCGCCCAAAGGAGGGGTTAGGAGGCAGCATCTGGGTGATGCTGAAGCTAAGTGGGCATCCCTTAGAGCATTTTACTCAGAGACACAGACAAATGCACAGATACCGAAGCAGGAACACCATGATTTTGGAATGTCACCAATATTTTCTCGCATTTAAAAAGGCTGATTGTTATTAGAATCTTGTCACTGACAGTATAATCATAATCCTCCAACGAACTCACAAACAATTTTAAAAAAGCACAATTAGATCGATTGGTTGGCATTTCAGCCTTGTTGCCAAGTATTAAATGAGAAGACTGGCGCCACTTTTCTGTCCGTTCCCTAATTATGATGCAACAGGCATCAGGTAATTAACTCTGCTGGAAGCTAACACGAGAAAGAGGTGAATATCCGCCTAGTCTTTTGCAATAGTACCCAAAAGCGCCTGTTAAGATCACTTATGAAGATATTATATGTAGCTTATTCAATCTGAACACAGACTTCACTGTTAGAAAGACACTCTGAGAATTCAAGGGGTCGTTGTGTATCAGAATAACAGTGATGTAACATTACAGTATGTTGCCAGGCAACAAACTATTACATTCTTCCACTGAAAGACTAAATAAAAATGTGAATCAAAGCTGCGCTGTGGATAAAGAGGCCCCTGATCATGCTGGAAGTCAACATAATGACTTCTTTAATAAACACTGTTTTTGATGTATTTATCACAGATGGCACACACAAAAAATGTGTGTAACTAAACGCCTGCAATATTTCATAAAGTGGACCAACTGTAAGTTTAGACCTTTAGGCATTTAAAATTAATAATAAAGTAAATAACACTTTTTCTGTTAGTGTAAGATTTTGCCAAAAGGACCTAAGCTTGATTAGATAACTCACTGTACTCTCGCTGTTGCTGGAGGGAAAAGCATCACAACCAGCTGGAAAAATCTATGTGGGTTACATGACTCAAACATAAAAATAAACCTGTGAGTCTGATAAACAGGCCAAATCTTAGAAGGTAATTCTTTTCAAGTCAATTTATGTGCTTTTGTAATTTGCTTTTGAGACCAGCAGCCACAAATACAAACGTGACCTATCAGTTTTCTAAGTGAGCTTTGACAGCCATTTGAAGTGATACTTTTATTTCTTAGGGAGCTTGTGTAAACATAAGCGGAGAACATGCATCTGCCAAGTGGCTGGGATAGTAATGGAACATAAACAAGGAAAGATTTCTAGAGAAGGACTGTAGATAGAGAATAAGCAAAAAAGAAGGTGGGGATAGGGCATTTTTAAGGCTAAGCGTATGGGATTTAAAGGTGCCAATGACAATCTGATGACAGGCAAAAAGACATTAAAGTTACAATGCAATGCCATCAGAGCTACACACATTTTGAATCCTGCCTGCATGTAGAGCTGAGGTGCAAAGAAGAGAGCGACATTACAGTTCCTAAATCAAAAACGAAGACACCAACTGAGCAGAGGATAAGCTGGTCTGAAAAGGGGATATTTGTGCCTCATGCTGTGCAACACCCTGCTGCCTTGGGGGTCAAAGTAAACGGAGACCTGAGGCCTGAGTGAAAGCAGGGGACATGATTAACAAAAAACAACAACAGAGCATTCAAAATAGGTCACCCATACACCCGCGCCCATTACGTGTGCGGTCATGCTACGAATATATTAACAGGGTGGACTTTTCTTGTGCGACCATGGTGCCGAGTGGCAGGTGTCATCACAGCAGAGAGACAAAGAGTCAGCACCGTTATTCTGCGCCTGCTCCTCCTGAAAGACTGTGAAACTCCAGACCTTTGCCCTTTGTAGCGATCACTGACATGATTTTTATATATAAATAGACACAGCTTTCCTCGCTTTTTTTCTATTTTTTTTTCATCCTCTCTCATCCTCCCCACCTGCCCTTTCTCTTTCTTCGTATCTGAATGAATTTTTTTTTTTTCAGAGTGGGAAATATCAGAAACAAAAACGGAGCTGTGATGAATCTTTCCTGAAATGGCGAGGTACAGATATGATGAAAAAAAGCGAGTAGTAATAATTCACTGCCACATTTAAAAATGTGTTTGGTGTCCCCGTGTGCATTGCACTTTGCAGGAAATGAAAGTGATTGATTCTGTGAGGCAAAAAAAAAGAAGAAAAGAAATGTAATTCAGTTTGCAGTTTTGTACTGTTATGTGTCCTCCTGAACACTGAACACATTTAACTAATTTTTTGGAATTGTGTATGGCTGTGTGTGAATCCAACTTGTGTAAACAGCTAACGTCACTGAAGACATTGAAGCGCAAACACACCAAACAATCAATCAATGCAAAATATACCATTTAAAATCTTTTAAAATCTTCAGCTAATTTTGACTCCCTGAATGTCCACTCAGTTTTTTTTTCTGATGCTTTCTTAAGTTTTGTTGTTACTTGGTCTTTTATGCCAGGGTTGAAAGAAAGGTCAGTGTTTGCTGAATGCGCATGACTAGAGTCAATTTACTCTAACTCGCAAAGCAGAAATGTGGACACATGAACCCCCACTGCCATTTCAACATGCCTTATAAGCTCTCTCCAAAAGGAGCCACACAAACAACTGTTTAGCAAGGACAGGGAGTACGGAAACATGGCATGAAAAAAAAATTAGGGAGAAAGTCTCTCATCATTTTACTTTTCATGCTAAAATACACTGTAAAAAAACAGGAAATTGGTTGTGCCGGCTCAGCCATGGCAGACAGGGTTTGGACCGCAGATGAGCGGGTTCAGGGGGCAGCTGACATTGTTAATCAGCTGCTCTGGAAGGAAAAGCCACTGCAGAGACAAAAGGACAAAGATATTCCACGAGCTCAAAGCAGCCTAAAATGATTATCAGCTAAAAATTCTTGCGGAGTGTGTTTAGTTTTGCTGAAAGCAATTTGCAGATAAAATAATTAATGTCAGTGGCGGCTTAATGCGCGAGGGTAAGAAACCCATCTTTAATGCAGAGGATGCTGCAATGAGCTGTAGATCAACTCATTGGGGGCACATACACATTATTTCATGCAGGTTTGAACCTAATTGAGGTTCAACATATGAATTTGAACTGTTGGGCAACAGAAAACCCTCAAACTATCTTGTTAAAAACAAAATGAAACTACTGCAGCTTGGCTCTGCTGAAACGTGCCCTTTCGTTTTATGTCATCCAGGGAAGGCTTTTTTTGGTAAAATTGGCTATAGCTTAGTAAATCAAGCTGGATAGTGTTCTACCAACTGTTTTTTCTCATCCAACATATAACACTAATCATCTTTGTTAAAAAAAATGGCTTGTTTTTCATGGGTTTGTCACCCAGTAAACCAGACCTTTTCCCTGAAACATTTGTTTTTCAAGTGAAAATTTGATGGATGCAATGTTTCAGTGGTATATTGATTAGCAGCAGATTCAGGAGCAGGAATTAGAGTGGTTAAGTAAAGGTCAGCACCCTTCACCTGGAACCTTGTGAATTGATGCTAAGTTGACTTTGTCCCACCCAGTCTCAATAATCCATAAAGGCCCATCACAAAAAGGCATTTCATTGCTATTCCTGATTGTTTTAGTTTTTTAAATCAGTGAAAATTATTATTTTAGAAAACTCCCATCGTAAACCTAGAAAAAAAATCTCCCTTTGAGTCGTGTATAGAATATAAAGGGGTCAAATGCGGTTTAGATTGTTTGCATGTGAGGAACGTCAATTTAAGCACATTGTTTAGGAATAGAAACATCTAAAACAAAAAACAGAGCACAAAGCCTGTTACATCTAATTGCCCAGTGGCTTCCATAGATGCAGTTAAGCTTGGGATTGATTGATTAACTTGACCTGTCCACATTAGACAAGCAAAGATCACATTCATAAGTTGTAAGATAAATCAAGGGTTGAAGTTGGGCTGGTGTTTAGTTCACAGGTTTTTGGGGTTGAATAGCAAGAGTTGTAAGGTTGTGTCAAAACAGGAAGAAGGAAAAGTAGCAAAGCAAACACCCAACAAACACTCAGAGGAAAAAAGGTGACGAGAGACACAGAGATGATATTGGGATATGAAACTAGAGATTGGAGCTTTACAGTCCCTCTCCCTGTTTGGTTATAGAGGCTTACTGATGTAGAGTATCAATATAGCCATTAAAAGAGTTTTTTGCTCCACAAAGTAGCCAGCTGCCGGGCTATGCAGCAGAAATTTCACCTACAAGGAATAAACCATAAGAAACAGAAGAAGTGCATTTCGGACAGTGGCTAAGGAGGACAAGTAAAAAATACACACATACGTGGAAGAGCTTTGCTTAGTTCATAGATGCACACAAAGGCAGAAAGGGAAGCTAATATCAACAGCTGATGGGGGAAGAACCTTTGAATAATTGATATAGTAAAAATGTTTGCAGTACCAGACACTTAAATACTAACATTCTCTAGGTTGGAAGCTGTGAACCCGACAGCTGATGACTCACACACAGACATCCACATGCACAAAAATGTCTTTGTCCGGCCATTTTATGCTAATAAGATATGGTGACACTCAATATGCCAGCTATTGATCGTCAATGCTGCCCATGCGGGTCCTTTGAGAGAAATCAATAGCTGATCCCAGCATACAAATTGGATATTTCTAATGTCTACTGGCACATTTTTGCAATCTCCTGTTGAGTATGTTGAGTATTTTTTTAAACTCTTTGTCCACTTTTTGCTGACAATATGAAGCACGGATTGTTCTTGATGTCAGTCTGAATCAGGAAAACACTGTTGTCTGTAAATATTTGTGGGCCGTAATAATGTCTTTTACCCTGAATTTGAACTGAAAAAAATGCAGTATCATCTTTTTTTTACTGATGAGAAGGCAGAGCAGTGTCACCGTGACTGGAAAATGTGATATGTACTGTTTATAAGATCGACACTAAAGGGCTTAAACACAATTTCATTTGTGAGATTTTCCTCTTCTTGATTATTTTCTGCCCTTTACTGTTGCTTTTTCTTGGACTAAATGACGTTGTAAACTTTACTGCCAACGAGAGCAGCGTCTATCATCAGATATCCATATATTGCTATATAATGAAAGGTTTGTTGTCACCTATGTTTACAGCCTTGTACAGTGTTGATTTTTACGTGCAATGTTTTCATCAATCCGGAGCTGTCCACTTATGCACACGGAGACATAAGGGATGCAATGTTTTTAGTCTTGTAACGCTCAGCATCTGGTTTAATACGGCTTACTCCAATGGTCTACTTTATATGTATGATTTCTATCATAGGCCCACATTAAATAATAGAATTGACTGAATCGTTTAAACCACAGTAAAGGAGAATGGGCGTGTGGATATTGACCTCTGCTATTGTCCAGAGCTGAGGGATTTTCCATAAATTTTTGCTGAATCAATAGGCTATTTGCAATATATGGCAACAACTATCCCTAAGCGAGTATATCCTTTTATAGAAAGGCTCATTGATTAACTCATTTTGGTGTTAATCATGCATTACATACAAAGTTATATGAAAACCAATTTTCTATTTTTGATGTCCAAACCAGTTTCTGGTATCTATGTATATGTGTATATGAATACATATGGCCCCAACACAGCATTTATGCGTTGCTAGTAAAGCGTATTTTCTATGGTAGACCCCATCTCCTACTATTGTTTGCACAGTAGCTTCTAATATGCACCGTGATGCCCCATTGTCATTTTAATGTTGACTAACTTTATGATTTGTGAAATTAAGTTATGAAAAAGCTGTATTTTGGTACTATACAACTATTGTAAGAAATAAATAAATAATCAAAAAAAGAAATATAGCAGACGTATTGTCCAAGAAATATATTAACATAGTGTTGCTATGACTTTTCCTTTAATTTTGGGGGGGATGACTTGGATGATTTTGTTCTTCTTTTGTTGTTGATTTGCCATCTGACAGTATATCACCATTGTTATATATAACAACTTTCTTACGTGGCAATAAAAGATAACTTCTGTAAGATCCCTCCTATCTTTGCATTATTTTTGGTTTGTCTCTTTATTTTTACCTTCACTTCCTTAAACTTTGTATTTGGGAAAATATATTGCACAGCCCCTCTTTGTTTCTTCTTCTTAATTGTATCCCTGCGCACTTTCCTGTTGTGTTTACCTTGACACCCTACTTCCTACCAAATGTTTGACATTCAATGTGTCGTTCGGACAGATCGGAAGCACATCTATAGCATATTGAAGGATAACACAGTTCTAACATGCAAGCTGCTTCTTGTTTTGTTTCCCAGCCTAACAATTATATTTCCCATGGATATGAATCCAAACAGTCGATCTCCAAAAGTATTTTTGATTACCCTAACCCAAAAAGGTGATATAAAGAATAACCAAATCCTACGAACACTAAATACACTTATACATACAAGTTCATATAAGCACTGGCATGTTTGAAGAAAAGAATTGTGTTGTTTGTATGTGCTAAAAAAAAACAACTTAATTTTCTTGTAAGCTGTCTGTGGATGAGATTTAATAGAAAAGTAGATGTGAGAAAATAGAGAGAAGAAGAACATTGTATGTCATGTGAAAGAAGGAGTTTAGTTATTTCAGAAGGCCAAATACACTGGCTCAGATCATCTCATTCAATTTAAAAATATATTTTTTTAAAGTTAATGCTGTAACATTGACAAAAAAGGCTCTTTTTCAGACATCTTGTGTGTAAGGTTAAGCTAACCTGTACAGCAAAGGCTGCATCTCCATCTTCAAGCTCTTCATCTCCTACTAAGATGTTGTTAAGCAGAATAAATTGGCCGAACTTCCGTGTGCTTGGATCAGCGCTCCACAAGTTGGGTCAAAGACGTGGAAACAGATAATAGAATCACCTTCCTGTAGCTGTTACGGTTGTCTTGCTCCTCTGACAGAAATGTCTTGATGTGTGGACCAGTGTCATGATTCAGAAGTGTAAACTGCAGGCTCAGTCACCTTCATGCTTGTTGCCTCATAATGATTGTCAAATCACAATTTAGAAGATGTGCATGCAGTCGACCTACACCCTCATCAGGTCTGCTTGATTGCGGTCTTATGCTAATTTCCACTACACTTGGCAAATTACCTTGCTCATTACAGCAATAACATAGCAACGTCTGTAATCAGAAATGTATGCATTGTTAATAGATTGGAGATGCCACTATTTCTTTCCAACTTCATTTACATTTGTTCATCTAGTCTTTCATTTCAGATTCCTGCAACTAAAAGGAAACTTGTGTTCCAGTCAATTTTAGGTCTCAAAGCAAAAAGAACTCAAAGACAAACGTGGCTAATTTGATAACACAGTACAAATTCTGAAACACTTTTTCAAAGTTTGAACAAATTTACATTTTAGAAAAAGAATCAACATTGAAGGAAACAAACAAAAGCCTTGAAAATGAAAGCATTTGTGTATTTAGGAATCAATTTTGTGCATATGATTTGGGAAATTTGCCTTTCATTAACAATAACCACAGACATAACCCCCCCCCCCCCCAGTCTAGATTAGACATTCCCCAGTTTAAGAAGGCACTAACTTTAAATGGATATTTATCCACTCTACATGCTGAGCTGAAACCTGAACGCTAATGGGTCCTTGAAATTCTAATGTCATTATCACTGTGAGTAGAAATCCAATCAACAGTTTTGGTCAGAAAAGTTATTATTCTGTGAAAGTGCCATTTTAAAAAGCAGGGGGGAAAATCCTCGAATTACACCAAATGTTACCCCCACACATAAACAAATGCAAAGAGGCGCACCCATTCACACGATGTGAGCTCACACTAAGTATTTAGGCCTGTGGTATTGCTGGCAGCGAGGAAACAGTCAAGGGAATTTAACCTAAAACAAAGGGAAACCTGCTTTTTCTTCTGATCCCCTGCCGACGCTTCTCTACCCTCACTGAATGCTGCTCAGCAGAGTGGAGCAGCACAAGAGCCCTGTGTGTGTTTAAAGCCATCTGGCACTGATCCCTGCTTCAGCCTTTAGGGGCATCATTGCTATCATCCCACACTGTCACTGTTTTATTTTATTTTTTTATCAGCACTTTGCTGCTCCGGTGGCTATTATGAATAGACAAATACTATTATTATCATCATTATTTTCCAAGCGCAGTGGTTGGGACTGTGATCATTATAAAGATGATTTCCAATTAAAGGTTGGATGCCTGGCTTTTCTTTCCTTCACACAGTCATTTAATTTAGACTCATTATCTGAATCCTGATGTCTGGTTTTTACCTATTGGGCAGTGGTTCATTTACAATATTATAAAACAGAGGGAAAGAAAGAAATAATTCAAAATGCAAAGTTGAAAATAAAATATATACTGATAAAAATAAATATACTGTATATAAACTAGTATATAATGATATATTATTATATAATTTTATAATAATATTGTAATCCAGGAACCACCACCATGCTCCCAAAAGACAAATCTTTTTACAGATAATGCGTCTTGTTTATTCTTGGTTTGTCAACCTTCTCCAAAGAATGTTCAGATTCTGGTGTTTGAACTTAAAACCAAGCAGTATTGAATCTAAGACTGACCAACAAATTGAAAGATTTGGTTTAATTATTTTTTTTAAAGAAAAATGGGAGAAAACTGGCTATGATACAGATATCTGACCTATCTCTAACCAATCCTGGTACCTACTTTAAATGTCACAATCTAAGCATTTTCTAACCAAATGAACCGCCATCTGCCTGAAGCATCATGGTTTTAACTTGGGATGGCATTAGGACATAGCAGACAGTGGAACTTTATTTTTATTTCAATAACTACTGCAGCACCACTTGACAACTGTAACGTGCATTCATGAAAATCTACATTGGAATATATTGCTCTCCTTGAGCAAAAAATCATGACATGCCGAACTAAAAAAAGTCTGTGTGAGCTAATTTCTGACAGAATTAGAAAACTGTCTATAAAGAAAGACCAGCTTTAGGGCCATAAATGAGCTGCCAATTTCTGATTGTTAAGTTGCCTTACTGATCCATATGTGTTCATTTTTCCATTTATGTCGATGTAACTCAATATACCACAAATAAAGTTATGGTGTTCAGTCATTTGATGTTGTTCACTGATGCTTCTGTATGCAGAAGTCATATATTTTTCAAATGGACCAAGCCAAGGAGATTTTTGCCACAGAGATAGAAATCCTCTGGCCTTGGTATTGTCGGGTGATGTTTTGATCTTTGAATGTCTTTCTCAGTGTTCTTCTCCTGGTATTTTCTAAACATCAGCAAAGCATTCACCGAGCAGCGCAATCAATTATGTACAAAAAGGGCACTTGGCTCTCAGGAAATTGCATGTTTTTCTCATGGCCCAGGGCAGTTAAAAAAATCTGTATCTGTGAAAATGAACTATTCCATCCCAAAAAGCCTCCGACCAGGAGGAGTCGACTCTAATCTGTGAGGAGAAAACGTTGTACAGCCTGAAGGGATACATCTGACACTGTCGCTGGGACTCACTTTAACATCTTTTGCGCTGTTTTTTTTTTCTTTCTTACTTTGAAATCCAAGTGAAGACTGATCTCATAACTCAGTAATGGTGGATGTTTGAAATTGGACATATGCCCTGTTAATGTGAAAGTATTGCGCGTGCTTCTATTGAGCCTTTTCTGTTTTACTTCTCCTGTTCGGATTCTTTCTCAATTTCCCCATTTTGGCAGCTCATCTTTCCTCTTGATGGGAAGGTTAGGTGCCTTCAGAAAAAAAGGGAAAAAAGTATTAATGGATATTAAGATTACATCACAGATTAATGAAGTCTTTATTTGAACTAAATCAAAGACACAGACACAAGAAAAGAGAAAAGAGAGAAAGTATTTTGTTAAAAATAAGAGTTAGTCTTTCAAAGTGGTAAAGCTCGACAGGAAAAAAACAACATAATTCAAACAAAGAAGGAATCACAATTGTTTTATTGAGAATACACATCCAAAAAAATCCATCAAACTACATTGGATGCATGCCATCTGGCACACCTAACTGAATCGCATTCTATGCCAGTTGTGAAGAAAAACCCCAAGCGGCCTAAAAGTCCCTCTTACCTTCTCCATTTTGCTCTGTGTTAACGTTCCTGGCATTTTCCCCGAAAAAACAAAGTTGCATTTGCAGTCTGAGAGACTGCAACTCCAATCTTTTATCCGCCCTCTGTTAGGCTGATGTGCTTGTTAAAAAAAGTAATACATGTCAAAGGGGATATAAAGCCTGGTAGTTAACTAAAGTCAGAGCAAGGCTTTTCAAAATGTGCATGTTAAAGTTAATGCCTTTTTTGTAATTATCATATACAGGGGGCAGAGTATTATCAGACTACTCTCTAAGTTCAACGAGTCATCTTGTCAAAAGGATTGACTTTCCAATCTCTCCATGGAGACTTCCTCTGTGTTGAGATAATATGGTGTTCAAAGACACAGAGAGTGGCAGAGTGCTCTTGGCTCTGAGGGATAAAATGCACTATGCTAAGATGGACCCCTCTCTATGCTCCTCAAAGAGAGTGTGTAATGTGGAGGGGCTGAATAAATACGTTTTCCTTTCTCTAACTTTCTCTGTAAGAGTCTGCCTCTCATTAACAGGGAGATGTTTGGCTCAAGTGTGGTTTGACTGTTGCTCTCCACTGCACATCGATCCTCGGAAGAGCGAGGCCTTACAGTGGTGCCTTTTCAGTTCATACTGGCTGCAACTCAGTATGCTACACAATGTTACGCATTTGTGATCATCGACACCAAGGCAGGGGACACAGCATGTAATTTATTATCATTTCAGTGCACTTCATTTTTCATACAAGTTCTGTTTAACTGATCCAGTTTCTGAAAACACTGGCACCACAAATTTGTTCACATCGCAAAGTTAAACAACATCGTCGTTTAAAGTGTTTCACAGGGAAAATAAAACAGACAGCGTGCAACATGAATTAGATTTATATAGTAAAAAGAGGAATCATCCTGTTTAATTTCCAAGAATAATGCTAGATAATGTATGTCCTCT